TCTGGGCTATAAGGCGAGTAAGGCAAAACTTCCCAGCCACTGTTTTCCAAATAGTTCTTAAAGGGTCTTGCACCATGAGACCCAGCGTTGTAATAATGGAAAACTATTCATAGATAGCATTTATAGATATTCGACTTTGCCAATTCAAGTTGGCCGGATTTCACATATGATTTTTATAGTCTTGCAACATGTTGCGACAGAGTATGATAGTTTTGTTCACCTTACGGTTGTTTTCATCACCTAAAGCTAATCGAGACAAATACATAGTTATGTATTGTATATGTATCCGTCCGTTCGCCCGTCCCTGCGAGCTGTAACTTGAGTAAAAATTAAGACATCTTAATAAAACTTCGTACACATATTCCTTGGTACCAAATGAAACCATCGAAAACCTATAAAATGCCATAACCAAGTACTAAGTTAAGGTATAAAACTGTAATTTGGCACAAGGGATCGCAGTACCAAGGGCCACCTGTGAAATAAATACATTGAAAAAGGGATGTGGCCCCGCCCTGTAATAGGTTAAATATACATATCTCCTAAACCACTTAAGATACGATAACCAAATTCCTTAAGCACCCCAACCGACACTGTAAAAATGGATGAAAGCGGAAGATAACCCCACCTACTCCCATATAACGGTTCTGTTAAGAACTACTAAAAGCGCGATAAATCAATAAATAACTACGCCAGACCCTTTCCATTACATTTTGTTTCCGAGATTGTACGAGAGGCCTTTATATAAGCCGGGATCAAAATACGACGATGGAGGTGGCACCGCCCACATTTAGGTAAAAACCCAGGACCTACTCAACCGATATAGACCAAATTTGGTACGTGATATATAAGATACCAAATATGTCGACCCCAGTTCTTATGGTGACCATTTTATCGAAAATATCAGTCAATCTGTGAGAAATGTTATTGAAATTCAGAGCAAATTCTTTCCTGATAACATTTTGCCTATATGTAAAAAATAGGTCAAATCGGATGAAGGCTTCTCTACGCAGCCATATACCTAATACAATTTCGATTTTCGAACTTCCGGTTTCCTATATACTGCATATATCGGATAATACAATAATAATATAATATGTGAGTTATCTTAGTGAAAACGAGAGGGCGTGTTTTACTAATAACAATGTATCTTTGCATACAATCGGGTAAAAACAACAACCGGCTGACTTTACTCCTTATATGTGGGCTAGTATAATGACACTCAGGGAGTATATTATGCTATGCCTAATATCAAACTTTTGGTTGGCCTTATATAATATATACGAATTTGTGAAAATGAAATACTACTTTTGAAAGGAAAGTAAAAAAATAATTATTTTGACTTTCCACCTATCTTTAAACCATACAGGTTGGTCAAAGTGTGTTATACTTTTATGAAATTAAATGAACAAGTTTTCTTTATAATTATGTGGTTTACCATTGAATATGAATAGAATGGGTCTAAACCTTAACTAAATTTAGCCTTTTCGGTTGAGTTTATATCACATAGTTCTCATTTAAGGGTGATTTTATTACAAGTTTCGTTGACGCAATTAAAATATATTAATAAAAGTATGTGAGTTCATAAGCTTCAATATAAATTAATAAGATACTAAATTTGTCGAGTAATAAATGTTGAATTCGTTCGCAACATTTTAACAGCCTTCCAACAGATATAGGGTTATATATATATATATATATATATATATATATATACATATAAATGATCAGGATGAAACTTGGTACACGTGCAAAAAAGTGATGATGAGTCCGTAGATGAGTTATATGGTTATAACTAAGCCGTAAATTAAGATACAGAATTAAAATTTGTAATAAACAAAAAACATCAACTCATTATATTAAATTTAGCTTCATAAGAATTGACGGGAAATAAAATATAGTACTAAAACTAAATGAGTCTATGACCTATAATATTATTTACTAAAATACCAAATTTGATTGTAATCCATTTACAATTTAATCCAATAATGAGTGTTAAATTATTTCGCAACATTTTTATACTCACGAAACATGCTGCTACAGAGTATAATAGTTTTATTCACCTAACGGTTGTTTGTATCACCTAAAACTAATCGAGTTAGATATAGGGTTATGTATATATAAATGATCAGGATGAAGAGACGAGTTGAAATCCGGGGTGACTGTCTGTCCGTTCGTCCGTCCGTCGGTGTAAGATGTAACAATTGACATATCTACAAATATTGTAAATTGCCATTACTACACTCCACAATAAAATACAAGACTGTTATTTGGTATACAGGATCACATTAGGAATGGGCATTTGCAGTTTAAATTTTTGTTTAAGTGGGCGTAGTCCCGCTCTCTAATAAGTTTAATGTACGTATCTCCTAAGCCGCTAAAGCCATAATAACAAAACTCACTGAGAAGAACATGCCAGAAACATAAAATTTTATCTTTGGGGTGGTATAAGATGACTTTATAGGAACCGCATTCAAAATAAGAGAGTGGACGTGGTACCGCCCACTATTAGATGAAAATCCATATCTTGGAACCTGCTTAACCGATTTCAACCAACTTCGGTACATAACATTCTTATCATATTTTTATGTTATCGTTCAAAAATGGGTGAAATCCGATTACAGCCACGTCTATTTCCCATATAACACCATTTTAAATTCCCTCTGATTCTTTCACTTTCCTCTATGCAATTCAAGCAACAATGATTATATCAGGGTAAAACTTTGCGTGAATAATACGTTTAAAGTAAGCCATCTTGTGACCAAAAAAAAAATAAATCGAACCAAAACTGTTCAAGCCCCTAGGTACCGAATATGTGGACAAGGTGCCTATAGTTGACTTTTTACCGAAAATATCAATCAATGTGTAAGATATATAATTGAAGTTCATATAATAAAATAATTAAACGAAACTCTCGATAATATTTGTTTTTTGTGTCAAAAATGCATTGAATCTGATCAATACTTCCTTTAATACAATATTTTGCCAACACCTGAAGGTATTTTCCCAGCTTTGATCCTTGCCAGTTGCCAGGGAATAAAGTGTTCGGTTACACCCGAACTTAGCTCTTCCCTACTTGTTTGCGTTTAGGGATCTCATAATGGATCAATTTTTCGTCACCAGTTACAAGCCGATGCAAAAACGCCTTCTGATTCTATCGTTCAAACAGCATTTCTGACATTCCAAATCTTCTTTCAGCGTCTCTTGATTTCAATTCATATGGCACTCAAATTTCTTGGTTTTGAATATATCCGGCTGCTTTTATGTTATACTTGTGCGTTTTAATTTGGTTGCTTGAGTGACTTCGAAAGATTCTGCGAGCTCTACTTGTGTTTAGCAATAATCTTCATCGAGTAATGCTTGCAGTCCTTCATATTCAAACTGTTTTGGTCGCCTAGAACATTCTTCGTTCACTTTTAAATCGTGCAAACCACTTCCTGCACATTCATTTAGCTAGAGCAGGTTCAACATTAACTTTCACCAAAATACGACGACTTTCGGCTGAGTTTTTCTTCATATTAACGTATGGTATATAAATTATTTTCAGCACAAAAATAGTAGCTTTCATATTTCCGACGCATGTTCGGAAATAATATCCGAACATGCGTCGGAAATAATATCCAACATCAAATTATGGTTATGGATACTTTTAGTTTTATGTTTCAATTGATTATTAAAAAGTAGAGGCCTCACAAAGGTATAAAAATTAATTACGATTCACAAATATAAATATAATATCTTAATTTATTAATCCTTATCTTTAGTTAATGTTGCTTTTGACAATAATGCTTCTTTAAGGAGGTTGCAGGCTGCTATAACAAATTATGCTTATTCTTCTTCTTTTAATGTATTTTATTTTTATACTCTTGCAACATGTTGTTCACCTAACGGTTGTTTGTATCACATAAAACTAATCGATCTAGATATAGGGTTATAATCGTACATATATAAATGATCAGGATGAAGAGACGAGTTAAAATCCGGGTGACTGTCCGTCCGTGAGTATAGGTCCCCCCTTTAGGTGAAAACCCATATCTCAGGATCTACTGGACCGAGTTTAGCCAAATTTGGTAAATAACGAATTTTACGAAAATGCCCACATGTAACTGATATCAGGATTTTCAAACATCTGGTTGACCTTACTCCTTATATATTGTTGATGGTATGTAAGGTACCTTAATGAAACTTAGAGAGTATCTGTTTCTGTTAATAATATGTAGTTATGCAAAAAATAGATAAAATTTGGTCACTACTACACCTATCTCCCATATACCTAACAAAAGATATTCATACTTCCGGTTAGTCTTATATCATATACCTATATCGGTCAATATTTAAGATATTTTAGCAAAATTAACTGAACGAAATGTATACTCGTACTTAAGTTCAATGCCGAAAATATGGACAATTATATTATTCCACACATAACAATTTCCGTTTTTATAACAAACCTTATTATGTTGTGGATTTGGTCTAGACCTTGGTCTTCTGGTTCCACATGAAATGATAAATTTAGCCTCTCCGGTTAAGTTGATGTTAAGTATAACTCATTTGATAAAATATAGTTTTAAAACTAATTGAGTCTATGACCTATAACATAACTTTTTAAAATACCAAATTTGATCATAATTCATTCACGATTTCGTCGAATAATCAATGTTGAATTCTTTTGCAAAGTTTTTCAATATGAAAGTTTGCCAACACCTACTTTGCTCATTGCAAGTTGTAAGAGTATAAAATGTTCGGTTGCGCCCTAACTTGGCCCTTCCTTATTTGTTTTATCTATCGTCTCCCAGTATGCCCAAAATATAGCTGCTTTGATACCATCAAGTCTTTGAAGACAACTTCCGTCGGCTATAATGCACAACCTTTCCTAAAATGAGTCCTCTACCTCAATTTATTCACGAAATATAACAGGGAAAGAACGATTCTTTTAAAAACGATAGTTGGCTAGCTACTGCTGGCATACATAACTAATTATAAAATCTACTCTTGCTACTTACCATGTGCAAAAACTGGAATGTGGAGCTGAGCCTTTATAGCGGTGTGTGTTTAACCTTGACTCGATTCATACAATTAAACTTTTTTATTATTTCGACAGTTTATATATGTACATGTACATGCATGTATATACTGGTACTTTTACTACTACTTAGTGTATTCTCCGTAATACTTCTAAGTTGGAATTTTTGAATTTTCAAGTTAAAGAAAGATTTTGTCTTCGCCGCTACTGTCACAGCTTAGTTTGCACTGCACTCACGAAAAACTTAAGAAGAACTCTTATGTGAGTTATGTGGGTGTATGTAATTCCATGTGTGTATGTACGTATGCGAACGTTCTCATATGCATACATATATCTTTGGTGCAGCACGTGTGGAGTAAAAGTGTTTATGTCATTTGTGTTTAATTAGTTTTTAAATGGAACCAGAAGCGAAATGTGACAGTATTAAGACCGCAAACATGACGGCATCAGCGTCACAGTGAAATGAGCACCGTTACTGCTCTTCCTGTTCACCGCTTTGCTGATACCCAGTCACTTGATTGGGTAGCACTTGCATTTTGGAAACTGTTAGGCGCCGAGTTGCTATCCGAATCACGCACGCACGGTTGGTATTTTTGCAAACACACAAAGGCACGTGACATGTCAAAGTTAAATGTATGTATGTACATGTGTTTGTAAATGTGTAGGGGACACAGACTTGGTTGCAAAGCCAAGGTTTGGAAATATATAGGTATATGTGTATATGTCTTTAACGAATGCGAAGACGATTTTTTTAAAGAACACTCTCACACTAAATTAAAATACATAAATAGTTTATAAATTGATACCAATAGCGCCAACCAAAAAAAAGCAATAGTACTAGGCGGAAAAATACAAATATACGCCAAAATATGTGCCGAAGCGCCAGCACACATTATAAATTCGCTTTCACCGAATTGCAGTGCATATTCATCAAAATAAATATACCTTTATGCAATGCAGCAAGAAAATACCATATTACGGTAAACCTTGGATTTTACATGCGCTATAGAGCTTTTCAGCCTTTGAACAGTTTGTGGTCCGAAATTGAAACAAAGCTCGTGTTGCGATTCTATGTTAAAGAGATTTGCCTAAAAGCTTTATATACCATATATATATTTTATACATTATTCATTCATGATCCAAGGCCAAATTTTGTGTGTTCCACAAATGCATTCTTCAATTTTACAAAAATCACAAATTAATGCAATTAACGTAACTCATTTGAAACAGAATGAGAAACAGAAATGAGAAAGAATACAGTTTCACACACCCAATTACTTTGAAGAAATTCACAATTTCAATCATTAAAATAGCAAAAATTATAATTCTAATACTCTTTCGAAGCTACAATAGTTGACTTAAATAAAAAAGAGGTACTGACTACGGGGAGTTCCTACCATGAACTTGAATTTTATTTAAAATGTCTACCTTGCCGTATAGTAAACATTGGCGAATATGTTTTTGCGCTTTTACATACTTACATTCTTCTATTCAACGACCAAGCTTACAAAAATTTTGACAAATGATCAGCCAAACGGCAGTGTCGAACTAAATGGACAGAGTTGGAAGAGAATTTACTTCCTTAGATACCGAAATATAGAAACCCATTCAGAGATTAAGAGTTTTGATTTGATAAAATGACGACGGCAAAGGCGAAGAGAAAGGACGTGTAGCTGGAATGTTTTGACGAAGAGTCGGAAGTGATAAGCCGCTTGAGATAAGTGAAACACCAGGTGAATCACTGAAGTTAACTTAACCAACAAGTGGTATTCGGAAATGATAGCAAACCAAGAAAGAGAGTAACAGTTAAATACATACATACACATACAAGTTGACAAGCATTAATGTTATTACCTAATTAAATAACCCAATTTAAGCAATTTAAAATTGTCTATAGAGAGAGGCTTAAAAAAGACTTAAACATTTTAACTGAAGTTCCAGCTCCAGGTCTCCTATCGCCCATTTACTGAATTTATTCTTAATAAAGCCTTGCACCACGAACTGAAAACCACAGAACGCACACAAACTGCAAGCAGCTAGATCCACAGGCTTTCAGTTTACACTTTGCAAAATTTCTTTCAAGTTTTATTCTCCTGCGATTTCTTCTTCGAATTAGAATTTTGTGTCGCGAATAATATAAACTCAAAACTTATACCAAAAGATATTCTCAGTTTTATTACGGATTAATTTAATGTTTTAAGTTTATAAAGCTTCCAGTATTATCACGTCTTCTAAGCGGTCTATTTTAGAGAGTGCTGCGCTGGTTGACCCTAATTATTTCTATTATTATTAACAGCTAGCAAACTATTTTTAGTCAACATCAGCAGGGTTGCATATAATGCATTAAAAAAAATAATTGACTTAACATTTTAATAAATTTTTTTTTTTTTGTAATCCCAAATAAGGAAATAAGATATAAAAAACAAAATTCTTAATCCCACATACCGGGGTAAAAAATTCGAATTAAAAATTTTAGTCCCAAGCTTGCAATTAAGAATTAAGAATTATAAAAAAAATTTTCAGTTTTCAATTTTTAATCCCAAACGTTTTAAGTTAATATAATGGATCTATTTACAATTTTTTTTTTTAACAATATGCATAGTAGGATCCTCTCTACAGCTTTGTTGAATGTCCTCATAAATTTTCTTTCGAAATAGGGTATTTAACGGTCAACCGTGCGATCGTACTTGTAGCAAAAACAAATTAGTAGGACATATACTAGATTTATGTATGTACATTTTCCATATGCATGCCACCGCAAAGTGGGTGGGTTTGTCTAATAATTATCTCAACACTGTCATATTCGCCACAACTATTTACGCTCTAACGCTTCTCGGTTGCTTTCATTTGTCTTTGTGGTATATTTAGCTGTTTTGCTTTGCATTGGTTTGCATTTAATGGGCTAACACCATTGAAGTTGAAGATTGCGGCGGTTGTGGCCACTCTATTAAGGCGCGAAAAGCTGAACCCGTTCGCAAGGGCAAGAAAAAACGCCGCAAGATCACAAGCGAAGGCAAATAGCCATAAATTAGAAAGTGTTTAATGCCAAGCAGGCATTTGGTGTATATCAGACGTTTTAAAAACTATCAAATTGGTTACAGCTAATAAAAAACATTAAGTCGTTGTTCATATATATGTTACGCACGCGACGATTATTTATATATGCTTAACAATTAAAGGGGTCCGACACCTTAAAGTGTGCAATCCGTCGCCATAGTCACGGCAAAGTCGTCGCTTTGTACGCAGTGAACACACCCAGTCACTTGTTACTCATACACACCCCTGTCCGCAGCGCGGCTCGCGGGCGGGTGTATTGTCCTGACTGTATGCGAATGTTGATTACCGAAAGCTGTTGAATGTGCCATACATCAACATATAAACAAGCATGTGGGAGGGGCCACTTCTACATGCATATGCACGTATGTATTTATATGTGGATGTATGTATGTGCATTCATGAGCATATATTTGTCAGTGTGTGTGTGGCAACAGCGTTTAATTGTAATTCTGAATACACTCCCCTGCACTCAAAGTGGGAGACTCAGATCAACAGGATATCACAGTAATAGAATGGGAATTTCACCAAACCGTTCGTACTGCTGCGTTTACTCATTTGTACATTTGCACACACACACAAGTGCACATGCTTATCTGTTGATTGTATCGGTATCTGCGCGCAGTCTTGTAAGGGCTTTTGTTTGTATTCTATTGTGTCGCTCATTTGCCGCATTAACACATGGCATGGAGAATTTTGCTAGTAAGTAATCTCTGCCTGCTGGAATTGAGCTACCAATGCGCTGTCAGCATGCCCTTCCGTCGAGAATGGGTGTGTACACATGTGTGCGTGCATCTAATTAAAGGATAAATGTGTAAGAAATTATTTGCTCAAACTAAAGTGTTCATTTGTGGGTATTTTATCATATGTTGGCGTGTATGTGTGTGTGTGTGTATGTAGGTGTTGGTGAATCTCATTGTTCGGGCTGATATTAATTTAATTAGACAATTAGCATGATTAGGCACTTATTTACCACTTGGTCTTCAGCGCTAAGGCAGCATTCATCGAACGCGGTAAAGCACCCAAACATTTACGTAAAAAAACACGAAGCATCGCTGCGTCTGAAATCTTTGCACGAATCACACAAATTGCCTGTGATGATTTTGTTTATCGACTGAATTATTTAACTTTGAATTACTTTCACTTATAACCTTATGATGAATTTCCTGCACAGTCTCACATCTTTTATAACGGCACCACCCTTCGGTCAACCAAATAGTTAAGCTATTTGCTTTATTTTATGTATTTTGTTAGGCATCGCGACGCGAAACTTTTCACTATCTTGGCGTTTTTCAATGCCGTTAAAGCGTGCGAACACTTCCAGATTTCATAACCGACTGCAGCGACATGGCCAAGTGCTGCGCAACATTTCGTATGTATCAGGTGGCTTCGGAAATCCACCCGATTTGGCAAGCCGCTACCGCCGCTCGCAGCAACAAAATATTCTACAGCCATGCTTAGCTTTGTGTGCTCGCCGACAACTCGCTCACTGCCCTGCTACGATGTGTTCCACAAGCTTTTCGAACTAAATTCTCCGAAAGTCGAACACACGACTTCAGTATGCTGCTTGTGTCACTGAATCATTACTTTGTTTTTACCGTTGCAAATACATAAATTAATAATTAATTTTATATACTTGTACATATAAATAAAGCGAAGATGTATTCGTTTCGTGCTCCTGTATAATGCTCGGGTATTCGTGCGTGAATTGCGATATTTATGCGTACGCATGTGCTCGTGTGCTTGCTTACGGTCATACCTCGCCTTCGCTCTCTCAATCATCTGTTTGATTCACCGTGTCCGGCAATCGTAGACAAGCTGGCGCTTTATTTTCCTTGTCAAGACATCGTCGGGCAATATACTCCCTGATAAGAATTCGCAAACCTACAAACATATGTGTGTAATGTAGTTGTTGCAAGAGTACACGCTCTTATTTCCTTTAGAATGAATACTTACCGTTATGTTGTGGATTGCATTTGAAGCTACGCACTTCTCCAATGCTCTTCAAGCGTTCGTGCTTTTGGTCTAACAAATCTGAATATCAATTCGATTTAAACGTTGTTGTGTGAACTTCAAATCAAGGGCACGAGCTCGTCGTAATTTCAGCAAACAAAAGAGTACTCCGCCATAATGCCATATAAGTATAAACATAAAATGGAAAAATCGCAGATGTTTTAATACCGATAATTTGGTCATACAAACGTGTAAAATATAATCCTTAGCACAGTAAATTGCTTCCAACTTCTTACTTTTACAAATGCTTTAATAATTCTCTTCAGTTAAGAGTTTCAGCAGGTGACGCTGCATCCACCAAGGATTACTGATTGGTCCACCCTTTTTTTAAACATAACGGTCCAGTCTGAAGTAAATAGATAACAGAAGAGTGATATACATATATTAAATTGAAAGTAGTCTATTAGTTACTGAGATATAAGATTTTGGCATAAGGTGGGCAATGTCTTACTCATTTTTCATTTCTGGGACTGATGAATTTATCTTTCAGACAGTTTTAGTTATACATTCTCCATTTTTAAATATAACCGTTGTCCCTTTTCCTTTTCTTCAGTAATTTACGGGACATATACATTAAACCTGTTAGAGGGCGGATTCACGTGCGATTTGTTTTCAACAAATATATATTATATTGATTTATATTAAATTCGCTATTAATGACACATGCAGGGCAATTTAAATTTAACAATCGTAATTTTACTATTGAATATTTTTGTTGCAGCATAATCTTCAATAAATTAGTATAGCATTCGAGAATTCATAAATCAATCGCGCTCCAGAATCCCTATTGATTATAAAGCAATGAGACATTGAGTTACGGACTATACTGCAGAGTTCTGCTAATTAATCCTTCCAAAAATTATAGATTTAAGTTTACTTCTCTGTGATTCCCATTTATGACCTTCCTTAACCATTTAAAACTTTTCAGTGAAATGATAAGAACTTTATACCCAAATAAAATATTTATGAAATTTTTGCAGATTTTTGAATTTTTAATAAAGTCTTGAAGCGTTTAGTGATAGAGAGTCCGTATTCCGCATTAAAAATGCATATACTTTCTGGGGCAATAATTTCTTTAGTAATGGTTTGGTACTGTCTTGTTGCCGATGTAAGGCTTTATAAAACATCACTGGAAGCGGTTTGAAATTTTTCAAATAGAGGAGAGTGTCTATTGTTTAACAAGTTTATTTCTTTTAAATTTTAATAATATTGTAATTATTATTACTATTACAATAAATAAAAACAAAAGAGTTTAACTTCAACTGCGCTTGGCATTTGGAAAATTCTAACTAATGTATTTCATTGAAATTTTATAAAATTTCAGACCTGTCCATATTTCTGCATTTGTTGTTGTTATATTTTCCTTTGCACAAAACCTAGTATTTTCTTTCAGTGTGTAATACGGGTGGTATACGTAACTTCCACATCCACTTTGATCTGTTAACCTGGAAATTCAGAATTAATATGCAGGCGATGTGAGTTTTGCTCAACCTGACATCAAATATTTGTTATGATCATAACAACAACTACGTATTGTTTTTGTTAGTTTATCAGAAAACATTACCCAACAATCCCTTCAAGCAAAGAAGTTGAATCAACTCCATTTCCCTCTGAATGTAATATTACATAACTCGGTACCAAATGGACTTCTTTACCTAGGACCTCCTTACTACTAAACTACTCTATGAGACGTTCGTTGTCTTGCATCTATATTTCGACCTTTAATCTCTAAATGCCGTGACAAAATGCACATGCACGTATAAAACTTGTCTAGATTTCTACTTCATTCGTCACATATGCACACAAAAGCTTATAATATTATTGCAACAATTTATTTTACAACATACATATATACTAGCATGCTGTTAAAATCAAATATTTCTTAAAGCTCTCCAAATTTCTGTAGAGAGTTTAACAGGCCGTGTTCTTCAACTCTAACCAAAAACTGTAGTCCAATGGATTCAAGTCTGGACTTCCAGTGTGAAAATCATCTGCGGCTATGAAACCAGGAATATTGCTTTTAAGCCACTGCTTAGTGTTACTTGCCTTGTGCGCTGGAGCAGAATATTGCTGTAAGATCTAATGCTTTCCACCTAAAACCGTACTTCTTACCACACCTTCTAAAATATCCTGCTGGTAAACTTTTAGCTTAGTTTTAACCCTTTCTTCATAGAAGTGAAGAGGTGAAACGTCTTTACAGGAATGTCCCCATCAGCTAGATTGTGATCACGTTGAATCCTTGGAATAAATGTTTTTGCGACTTTGAAAGTTTTTGAGTAGATTTTGTTGTTTTGCATATTAAAATCTTATTCAACAGTAAACATTTTTTCATCTGTAGCCGTTGAACGCGTGCCTCTAAAGAAGTCGCTTGCATTTGTTGAGCCTAATTTGCTTCGAGCGTATTGTCAGAAGATGACTCGTTGACCAACGGTAGGCTTTCATGTGGAGATCAACTCGAATAAGTCTTGACATTGATCCGCTCGATACATATAATCATTTCCTGAATTGTTTATAAATCTCGAAATATTAAGTGTTTTGAGAAGTTTATAAATTTCATTTGCCCTTTTTCCACATTTATATAGAGCTCTCACCGCAGTACGATTTTCTGTAACTCCCCACTCCACTGTCAATAAACGAAAGCAAACACTGAACAATAATAATCAGTTGAGTATACACTGCATAAAAATTATACCAAAAAATAACGGTACTTTTTCTTATCTTGGCTGTATATAAATTTTTAAGTGTGTTAATTTGACTAATCATTTAATTATCTCTCCCTCGACGTTTTTAAACGCTGAAGTTGGTTAAGTATGTGGCATTATCGATTATACAATTTTTTTGTGTGCTGATTTATAATGTTACAATAAAGAAATGTTATAAGCAAATACACCGAATTCATAAATAAAAAATGGTATTTTCTAGCATTTACGAAAGTTTTTGAAGTTATGTTTGTTATTCCCGCCTATTTTCATTTTTTTCGTTTGATCTAGTTATTGATTATAAAGTCGGAAATCGAATAACTATTAAGTCGCATTTCAATATTATGGTATATAGGATTGCCACACTGTACACCACTTGTTAAACTCATTACACCGGTGGCGACAATATACGAGTAGTTCCAAAAATTTATGTAACCTATTTACACGTGTACGTGTGTATATAAGAACTTTTCCGGCTTGAAGGTCAAGAAAGAATCGAGCCAATTTCTGATACCCTGTTCTGAAGTGAAGCGTACTCCGGTGAGTAATGCTGCATTGATCTGAACAAGTGGTAATCGGAAAGTGTTATGTCTGGGCTATAAGGCGATTGAATTGGACTTCCCACCTACAGTTTTCCAAATAGTTTTTAACTGGCCTTGCAACATTGCCCTGAGCGTTGTCACGATAAAAAATTATTGATTCGTGTCTGACGCGAAATAATACTAGTAGAGCCCTCTCTTAGAAAATCGCACGAATTAATGCATTTACATATACAATTTGGATTTGCACATAATGTAGTCTCCAAGTGGCACAGACCACTATGCAGTGAACGCGGTTAAGCTGCATCACAAATGAATTGTAACTTTTGGCGTGAAATCAGCACTACAAAGATATTAAAAAATTAATTGTTTTACCAATTCATATAGAATATCTGGTACCTAATCTAATAAATGTAACCGCTTTTTGGATAAAATTGTTATTAAATTTATCTCACAATTTTATGGAAAACAAAACCTCATTTAATTTAAGTAGTAGTATGGTAACTTGCATTTTTTAATGCTTTTATAGGAATATTTTATTTGGAAAAAATAAAATTCAATCAGATTCATTTTGTAATATATTATTAATAGTATCTCAGAGTGTACAAAAAAATTAATATTATTTTTTGTTTTTTTTGAAATTTGTTGGTTCGAAGCACTAAAGTGAGCGTCTCAACAAGAAGGAGGTGGCTGGCCCGAATGATTTGGTCGCTTGAGGACATCTGAAATAAAAAAAGTGTTCTATGAGCTTGTCATTCTGGTTGAATTAAGGATTAAACAATTCCTTGAAAAATAAAAAAATGGTTGACTTCGTAAAAAAGTTAAATTTTTTGTAAGTAGAAATCGGGCTGTAAAATGGAAAGTTAGCGATAAAAAAGATCCTAGTTCATATTTCATATTTAAATACAGGTAACAAACGCTGGATGCTTTCTCGTGTAGTCTTAGTAGATCGACGATTTTGCTGACCATTTTCCCTATGACATTTATTGCTTAATATACATATTAAACTCCGAATGTTTGTCACACCCTCTCTTCGGATACACTCGAACTTAGGCCTTCCTTAGGTTAGGTTAGGAGTCGATCCCAGAAGGGA